TTTGTGCCAAATCTGAAGAATTTCCCTCAAGGTGGTCTTGAGTTACTACATTCAAGAGGCCAAAAATGTGTTTTGTGACCTTGAACTTTGACATTTGAACATGAAAATCTAATCAGTTCATCCTTGAGTCCAAATAGACATTTGTGCCAAATTTGCAGAAATTCCCTTAAGGCTTTACTGCCCTTTAAGGCTTTTTTCATGAGAATGAGATGTACGGATGTACTGACATATGACCGGACAACCCCAAAACATTATGCCTCCGGCGCTGGCTGTCACCGGCACGGAGGCATAACAAATAAGCCGCAGTTACACAGGGTGACGTGTGCCTTTATTACAATGAACATGTTTCTTTTGAGTCAATACCACATGCACTGTCCTGCTGCAGTAAATACTAGTATTTATTGATATAGAAATAATTCATATAGAAATATACCATTACTGTTATTCGGGTAACACTAAAAATAAAACTATACATCTGTGACCTGAAGGAATGAATTGACTTGGGGTTGAGTGCCACAGACAGAGAGCACTGTGAGACAGACTGACGCACTGTTAGTTTTGGTCTTTGGATTTGTTGACAATAACAAAAATAGAGAATACCACAAGCTCCGTCCATAACTGATGGTGACTGATGGCAGAACTCACCTACAGCCTGGAAAGGAACAGAAGGTTTGTCTGTTAGGTCATCAATCTGAAACATAGAGAAGGTGTGTCACAAATCGTTTCATCTTCAGACTGAAATAAAATAATACTGTATGTGTTAGTATTGAGAAAGAATTAAGAATACATTCAATGATGCAGACGTAAACACAAACAGTGAGAAAATTAGATAAAAGGGATAACTGCAAGGGATTTTGAGAAACCATCACCTTTAGTGTGTGACACAAAAACAGATTTTAGGACCTAACTAGCCTAAGCGCTCTCTAAAATGCACTTAACACTCTCACCTTTTCAATTCAATCCCACTCAGAGCAACTGATCAAGTCATAGTTAGTAGTTACAGTGATAAACGTTGAGTTAGACTTTCGTGCTGCCTATAGCCACATGGATGAAGCAGAATTTTGGCCTATGCTGAGACATAGTGTTAAAGTGCAGACAGCGGACAAAACTGCAAGCAAACTGAATGAACTGCTCTTCCCTGAGTGGTGCCCTGCCCTGTCCGTCTGTCCATCTGTGGGAACAGGAAGGGGGCATGGATGGGAAGGGTTCTGTCACTTACAGACTCATACGTGGGGGGAGAAGTGGGCAGCTGGGGGGGCTGCCCTCCTCCCATGGGGTGCTGGAAGTGGTTGTAGGTTCCGACGGGAGCGTTAAATGGTTCCTGGTGGAAGACAACAGTCAAGTACGGCAGCTGACAACTGTAAATGCATAATTCTCATCTCTTTCAACCCATTTAAAGTAAGGATAATGATCTGCAATTATTTTCACACTATACATCACATTTTGGGTACAATGACCACTGGTAAAACTTCATCTTTCTCAAATCACCACATGATGTGACGATATATATATGTACTGCGATTGAAGATGTTGCCTACTCCAATTGCACCTAAGACATTCTCACCAAATGTGTATGTCACAACAACGTCAAAAGGAACGGGGGTCTTAAAAAGAATTCCTTACAGCTCCTTTGGGAGGTGGATAGTTGAAAGCTGTTGGCATAGGCATGGGCATAGGCATGGGCATGGGCATAGGCATAGCAGCAGCAGGAGGTGCACTGAAACCTCCACCTCCTCCTCCTCCTCCTCCAGACTTCTTGTCAGTGTCCACATCAATCAGGTCTGCCTCTTCTCCATGACCCACTTCGGGCTGTCCAGAAACACGGATGGATGAGTGGTAAATAAACAGAAAGTATGACTTCATCCTTCATAATGAGTGATAACTGATTCTTAAATGCTCACCCGGACCATGGCATCAGGTTCATACGGCACATTATAGTTCTTGGCGATCTCAATCAGGTAACGCTCCACCAAGATCTTGGGAGGGGCCTCCACACTCAGTTTGTGCATCAGCTATAAACAAAACAGATATTTGATCAGATGCTGCTAAAGATTTTCCAGAGTAAAGGTTCATGCATTCTTGAACAGACTTGTGGCCAGTCAGTGGAAAGAAAATACCCACCCTATCATTGACTGTGCCAATCTGGTTTGTCCTGCACAGCTTGCCATACTCCTTGCTATATTTTGCACATAGCTGTTCAGATACCTGAGAGAAACATTTAGAGATAAGACTGTCAAGACTGGTCTAATGGGAATAAATGGACAGAACTTGTTGGATAGTGTTGGCAATGCTGCCAGCACTCTGTTATATTTAGACAGTACTTACAATCTTTAGCTCAGACACTTCTGACTGAAGACGAGGAGCTGCCCAGATGAGGGTGGACACTGCTTCCTGCAAGCCTGGATCCAGTTCCCTAATTGGAGAAACAGAAAAGGGGTCCACAAGACTGAGCGAGCTGATAGAGAACTAATGACTAAGTGTAAAAGCCCCATACTCCCCAGCGTCGTTAATTGAGGTACACTATGCATTGTATGTTCAGTACTTACTTCATTGACTGAATGAGGCCAAAGCGAGCAAGCAGCAGGTCGCAGTAAAGCTCCAGGATCTCCATGGCTTCCACAAGATAGTCCTCTCTGATAATGTGTTCCACACGGATCCGTGCCCGCTCATCCTTTCCTGATGACAGGTAATCAGCAATCTCCTTCCTTGCCTTTTGAGCGAGCTCGGCTACATTTTAAATTAAAGAATGGGAGTGGGAAAAGGTAATTAAACATTTGTCTTGCAAACAAGAGCCCATTGATTCCACTTCAGCTGTAGGAGACCAATGTCTTTACTCAGCTCATGACTCACTTTTCTTTTTCTCAAGGAGTTTGAGTCGGTTGATTACCAGCCGGAGGTTCACTCTTAGCCTCTCTGCTTTGAATCCTCCTCCCAGCATGATGATGAGGATGATGGACTATCTGTGAACAGGAGAGGAGCAGAAGCATTCAACCAAAACCAACCTATAGTCCATCTAACCTCACCCCCACCTCTGAACCAGTGACTCACTTAATCATGTGAGCATGACCAACCCATCGCAACAGCATGACTCCGCAGGTTTACTCCAAACAAATACAACACACAGAAAAAACATACACACATGAAAACATTAAGTTAGCTCGCTACTACGTAGCATTAAAACACTTAGCTTTAGCCTGACGCGACGGACAGCTAACGAGGCTACCTAAGACGTGCTAGTTTAAACGTGAACCTCTTACGTATTTTATTTCTAGTTTTATTTCTACTGTAAACTTAACCATAATGTTAGAGGCATGTTTAGAAATAAGAAACCCAAACCTGTCTGTGATGTCAAATCTGACTGTTAGCTAGCCTTTGCTTTGTTAGCAGTCTTCTATTCTGTCATCGATTGCGCTAGCTACCTAGCTCAGCGCTCGCAAAATCAAAACAAACAAATCGTGATCGAACACGTCCAAGTAATCTGAAAAAAGGAGGTGATTTCATAGCGAACGAGTTAAGACAGCAACAGTGACTTACCTGTAAATATTCGTCAAGCGACAACAACTTATTTGGGTTTCTGTGTTCCGTCGCCTGGTTCACTTCCGTGATGATATTGAATGACGTCATGGGAATTTTCCTTATGTGGGCGGGGCCTTCAAATTTACCGTCAAACAACACAGGTGTGACAAGGTATGTTTGATTCATAGACTGTATGGTTTCAGTACCGGGAGCAATTAAAATGTTTTCAGTTTTCGATTTTACTTTTTCGTTCTTATAATTCAGAGAGAAATATTACACTTTCTATGACACAAGGCAACACTTGCTTGTACAGTTGTATGCAAACGTTTTAGCCAAATTCTATTGGTTTTTTAAGTTAAAACAACCACTGCAGCAAACGCATATTAACAAAATAGCCTTTCTTAAAATGTACACTGTTACTTTTTATTTCATTAACTTAAAAAATAGAAAACAATTAGACAATACTTGTGGAATGTGCAAAAGACTTTCTATTCTATTCACAGTCCCTTGACTTGAACATCTGTGAAAAACCGTGGGTAGATCTTAAACATGCCTTATGTACAAGACAGTCTAAAAATATCTCACAACTCTCAGTGATCTGCAGGAAGAGCAGGTGAATGTTTCTAAATGAGGAATAGAAAGTCTGGCAGCACAAAGTGTTTACAAGCTGTGATATCTGCCAGTGGGAGGGTTACCATGTACTGACTTAGCAAACGTTTGCATATTATATTTATATATTTCCATTTTTTTTTCACAATTTTTTAAGTCCATGAAGTAAAAGATAATAGTGTATTAATATCTGAAGGCTCTTTTTTTATGCCCGTTTGCTGCATGAGTTGTATTTACTTATTTTCACTTGAAAAAAAAAACTACAAAATGTTTTAAACATTTGTCCAGAGGTGCTTAAATTTTTTTCATACAACTCTACTAGTTCATCTACATAAAAAATATTACACAAACAAATTAAATTAAAATGTATCTGTGGCTATCTAACTTTGAGGCAGGCAAGACATTCAATGCTGCTGGAGTATTATTACCTTGTGGCATTTGTTCATACCTTTATTTTCAGGGTGCGACAACTCATTCCATCTCAGTGTAAAGTGATACCTGTACCAGATTACAGTGTTTAAATCCTTAAATTACTTGTCACACCTTGATTTCACACAGGTGATCTCAAATCAGTATTTGAGCATCTTTGATTTTAAGTGGATTAAATTCATAGACACTATAAAGGGCTGTTCTTGAGCAGTCAAATATTCTCTTTAAAATGATGTGATCACCTGTTATGATCCTACAATGAGAAAAAAGATACTACTAGTGTTATGAACAATGGTGGGTCTTCAGACAGGCACTGTACATTCATCTTTCCACAAAGGAAGGTGCTCTGATATTTTCATGTGACTTAACATTTATTATTAAAGTTGAAAATGCACTGCTCATTACCAAACATACACAAACACATATGGGCACTTGAGTTATGTGAATGATGATGGAAACATTTTACAAGAACTTTCAGACTTAATATATTTCTGCTTTCTCATAAAAAAGAATCTGTACAATAAAAAGTTGATCTCACACAACAAACCATCACAGTCATTATAACTTGAGTTTGCTGACAGAAACCTCTTTGTGCTTCTTTTTCTTTGAAGACTGGTCCTTTTCACTTTTGATCTGACTTTTAACCTGGTCCTGCAGCTGAGAGAAGAAGGCTTGAGAGGACCGCAGGGCCTTGTCCTTTCCTTCATCCTGAAACAGGGGAACACCATGTTAGTTGAGTGGTGAAGGATATATGCAGCTAACACATCAGTTTATCCAGGACACAGCACCAGCTCAACTGACTCATCTAATTAGCTTCTATTCTTTGATTCATTTATTTGTTGATTCAGTCAAGGTTGGAGGAAGTACTCTAACCCTTTAGTAACTAAAAGTACCAATACCACAATATAAAAAGGACTCAATTACAAATGAAAGTCTTATGAAGCCAATTTTAACTATTTTATATACTCTTAGGTAGTTTAATCTGTAGCAGTGCGTTATATTTAATATTGTTCATAGGTTTTGTGTGTAAAATTGCAATCATAGCAATTAGTGACTATGGCTGTCAATTAAGGTGAAGCAAAAAGTACAACCTTTCTTCTAAAATACATTTAAGTAGATCTATAAAGTGGCATAAAATGTTAAACTCAAAGTCCATGTACCTCAAAAATCTATGTGCGTACAGTTCTTGCATAAATATAGTTCTCACCATTTGATTCCATCTGCCAAGTGTTTCAGCAGCATTTTGTAAATAATAATAAGATCAAGTGTGACATTCGGTCTACTTAACTGTTTTGGGCACAGTCAGTATTCAGCCTAGTTGTCTTTATCCAGTTGATATTTTAACTCCAAATATTGACAACTGAGACTTTTGAACAGGCTAATACTGACTACCTACTCTGAGATACCTGACAAACACAGGCCCTGATCTGACCGATACAAGATACATCATGAGAGAAACACTTACCTTGAGTATTGTGGCTTTGCCTCCTTTTGTGAGTTTCTTCAGGTTTTCTGTGACTTCAGCCTTCGATGGCTTTTTGTTCTCTCCAGTTTTACTAGCCTCTTTAAGTTTCTGCCTCTGTTCTTTCTCCTTGATCTTAATACGCTTCACCTTCTTCTTGTGGCGTCTCTCACGCTTCTTGTCTGTTGACGTCTTCTCAGTATCACCCAGTACATCTCCTGCTTTGCTCTTCTCCTTTTGTTAGAGGAGGGTATTATTAGACACGCTGTGTAACTAAATATACCAAGATCAAAATAACTATTTTTGGAACATGGATGAATGACAAACCTTGATCTCTTCTGGTGCGAGCAGCGTTGCATCACTAGTGCTGACTGGAGCCACTTCCTCCATTGTAATGGATGGCAAATTAGACACCACTTTGACCTCAGGAACAGGCTGTGGACATAAATGTAGTTTTCAAAAACTGCACTGGCTTGCTGCCTTTGACAGTACATCATTTTCTCAAGGATATGTGCAACTTATCAGTTTATATTTACTTAATTTCTATGTTTATGCAGTTGCTGTATTTACAGACAACATGTTTATCGAGGCGATGGCATGTTATTAAGAATCACAGATGAAATTGAAGATGTCACTAACCAGAGTTAGGTTCAGGGGTTTCAAAAGGACAGTCAGTCTCAATATTTTAGGCATATTTGGTGCCATCAGGCAAAACTTACTGGTTTAGGTGTGAAGTGGAAGTTGGAGAGAGCATCCAACTTTAGGAAAAGTGTGTCCATGAGCTTCTGTATTTCTACGTGGGCTGGGTTCTCCTCCTCCTCTGTCTTTTGCTGAAATAAGAAAAAAATGAATGCAGCAAAGGTTCATATGTGTTGGAGTAGCAGTGAAAACAAGATAAAAAAAAAAGAAAGTCAAACCTGATTCTGCTTCAGGTATTCTTGCTCATAGACTTCTGCTAGACTCTGCTTGCTCTTCTCATGGTCCAATGTTAGCCTCTTCTTGTACTCAAACACCTCTTCTTTGGGTTTCTCCTTGCGGACCACATCATCAAACGCCTTACAGAAACACAAGTTAAAGGCACAATGTTATCATCAGGCAAAAAATAAATAAATTTCAGAAAATATAAAACCCGTTTTTTGTGACCAACCTGGTCTTTAATTCTCTGTTTGATGATGTCTTCAAGCTGTAGTGTGGTTTCCTCAGTGACAGTAGGGGCTAGTGTTTGAAATACCACAAAGAAAGAAACCATAACGAAACCATATAAACGTAACAGTCGGGTGAATAATTATCCAACATCCAAAATAACATGCAGTCATTTGCCAACATATGAATGCAACACACAAACAGAGACGAGTCACTCACCCATCCTGGATGCCTGCTCAAACTCCACATCTTCCTCCAGCATGCTGTTCTCTGGACGAGTCTGTGCTGTCACCTCTCCGGACAACTGCCAGGGCTTCTCTGTTAGAGCTGCTTTCTCCAACTCCTCGATCTTCTCTGACATCTGCAGGTTAGATCAGCAACAGGATATAATAAACCACTAATAGCAAGCACGCTGCTTCAGGTATCAGTGAGACTTCAAATTAAACGTTACCTGCAGAATTTAGATGCAGGAACATTAACGTAAGCGTGACCTATGTCTGAATAACAAAAAGCTATCACTTGAAGTGACAGATTTTACAAGTCTGCAAAGTTATCATTAACTTATCTTTTGTCACAACAATTGCGAGGTAAACAGTAGAAATACGGCATTCACGTTACCAAGCAACCCAGTCATCGCTGGACTGACCTCTTTCAAACAAATGTGAGGGATGTGCTTTTTCACAGAGAACTAAGGTTAGTGTAAACACAGCCTTCTTTGCAAGCTGACCGGTCTGCACTGACGAGACAGCTAGGTCTGGGTATCCAACTTCAACACTTTTCAGGTACCAACCAAAATGTCTCTATAGCACAGAGTATCGAAAAAAATTTGGCTTCAAATGCTTGGTCAGACTCTTCGTCATCTTCATCTTATTAATTGATAACATGTTTCCTGATTGAAGAATTAATTTTGCTTCTCATTTCCTCATTATTCTTGTACATCTGCTTCATATCATGGCAAAACTAAACACTAGTGAATTATAGAACTTTACCTTATTTTGTTAGAAGAAAAAGAACTGGCAAATCACATTAGATAAACTTAACACCTGGTTACCTTTTCTTGCCGTTTCTCAAATGATGATTTTGATTCAGACTTTGCTGAGCTTGAAGTTTTTCCTCCAAAAATGTCCTCCATGTCCTCTCCTTCACTGTCCTCATCCCCAGAGAGGTCAAAGGTCACTTTCTTACCAGACGCTTTGGACTGAGTTCCCTCTTCATCCCTGGCAAAGGGTGGGAACAAACATTGTGGAATCAACCAAACATCCTTCTCCCGCACATAATTATATGCATTGCATAATATTAACCACACTTACTCATCGTCACCCTCCTCTTCACTATCATAATCATCCTCTTCGTCATCCATTTCGTCTTCACCTTCCTCCTGGCTTTCATCCATGCTGTCATCCTCACCATCTGACTGGTCATCTGCTTTGGCTGGTTCGCTATCCACAGCATCAAAGAAGTCCTTGTACTTGAGATTCCTGGAGCTCTTTACCTGTCAATTATAACATCAATCTATATATTTCCTGTAATCTTTACCACCACAACACAGTAAAATAGGTGAGAATAAGTTATAAATTACATACAGATTTTTTCTTTTGCTTTTTGGTAGAAATTATTTTTTCCAGGTCAAGATCTTCATCCTCATCAGATGGCAGGTCCTGGAAATAGTCTACGTCGTTTTCATTCTGATCCTCCTTTCCCTCTCGCTTGTCCATATCATCAAGAAACGACTCCATCTCTGACAGTTTGAAGAACTTATCATCAACCTCAGAGGGAACGACTTTTGTTTTGGAGCCCTTCCTTCCAATCTCCATCTTCTGTTTCTCTCGCTTCTCCAGAGCATCCACATCAAAATCTAAATCAGAGTCCTCGTCTGTGTAATCCTCTGGCCCATCCTCAGCCATTTTCTTAGACTGCCTGCATGGTTCCTCCTCTTCTTCTTCTTCCTCATCAACATTTTCATCATCGGCCTCTACCTCTGCCTCATCATGATCCTCTTCCTCCTCCTCTGCCAGCACTGTTAGTGCATCGTCTGACAAAGCCTCATCAACAGCACTTTTAAAGTGTTTCAGTACAGCATTGTTCTGCAGCTCCAGCTCCTGCCAGATCTGCTCTTCATCAAAGTCTTCCACCACCAGCTGTGCCAACAGGCTGCCTTTATAATCTGCAGGCTCCTGAGCTTTGTGGAGGTCATACAGAGTCTTAGTGAGAGAGGTAAAGTCTGCTGCCACTCCATCCTGAAGGCTGCAAAGGTGGAAACACACTATCAGTATGGCAAGTATTATATAAATCTATTTTATAATCTTATAAATCAAGATGGTATTTGTATTTGTCCAAAAGACGCTACAGGTGTGTGTGGTTTGCAATCTTAAATGCTGGGGTTGTACTTCACACAGCTATATGTAATACATTCATCTGTGATACATTACCATTACACTGGTACCAAGAATTACTGTTAGCATTAAACACACATACTTTGTTCTTCTACTCCACTACATAAAAAAAGTACTTTTACTGCACATTTACCTGACAGCTTTAACTCCAGGTTAAAATTTTAACATTAAGATTTTACATTTTAAAAAGCCTATGCTATGTACTTAAAATGCAATGTATTGTTAAAGATTAAGACAGTAATTTACAACCATTCTGACGTGACAAGTTACAAAAGAGTAGCCTCTAGTTTTGGCTCATTTTCACAGATATCTATGAGTTGTTGGCAGTTCCAGTACTTTGCTTTTTTCTTCTTCCCTCTCCCATTTATCATCTCACGACCCCTCAGATTTATCTGGTGACCCTTTGGAGGGCCCGACCCCTGGGTTAGGAACCAGTAGACTGAACTAATATAATTAAAATAGTCAACTATCTTCACCTTGAGCAACCACATCAGTAAAATGCCGCATTGATGCCCCAGTATCAGTAATGACACAATCATATCAATCACAGGGGACATTTAACTGCAGAACGAGTATTTTTACTTTGACGTTTGAGTACATTTTGCTGATAACATGTCTTTACTTGAGCTGTTTTTGAATGTAGGACTTTTACTTGTAATAGAGCATTTAAAAACGATGGTAATGGTACTTTTACTTGATTGAAGGAGCTGAGTACTTGTACATGTTAGCTTTAGCTAGCGGTTAGCTAGCTGAAACCCATACGTTCAACCGCGCTTGACCGACGCTGCAACAACATTTAACCGCTTTTTCAACAACATAATCTTACAGACAACAAACACTTGCCTCAGGAAGTTCTCTGGCTGTGCTGTGTTGGTATTTATAGTCTTCACACACTCTTCCAGCACGCTCCACATATCTCCACTAGCCATGTCTCCCCCACATGTGTAACCGTCTGTGTCGCAGGTAAACAGGCTCGACAAGAAACTCTTCCTCTGCTGCTTGGTTCCGAGATACAAATATGGCGTCCGCCGTGCTGAAGGTTGCAGGTTGGTTTATGTCAATAACGATCTATCTACCAAAAGGATATTTTTAAGTACCGTATTTGTCGTCATGTCGTCCATTGATGTATTGTTACACCTCAAGCAAGACTGCAGCGTTGTTGAACTCGAGGTTTCTTACACCACTGCGTTACATAATGAGTTCTCGCAGCGCTTGGGTACATGGTACTTTTCGTGTTTTGTGTGTGAAAAAGTGACTGGATTTCTGTTATCCGAGAACGTGCAAACGTTGACTCTGTTTTGACTCTGACTTGATTAGTCTTTTATTCACCAATGTACAGATGTTTTCTTGAAATAATAAGATATTAACTCCCAGGAACCCGAATCCAATGCTATAGCTGTACTTCTAATAAAACCTAACTGTACGTGTATCAGTCATTAAACTGATGCTATGCAGCCAAACATTTTCTAAACCCACAGACCTTATAAAATCTAGTGCAGAATCCAAAGTTTCCATAGATACCAAAAGTCAGGCTGAATTTGGGGAAATGTGTGTAAAATTATGCATTATACATCTCCATCCATTTAATGGAGCTGAGAAGCCATACACTTGGTACAGAATACACTGATAATGTCAGACAGTGTGGACAAAGATGATTGTTCCAACCCTAAAGCTTCTTGAAGGGAAACATTGAAGAAACAATTCCAGTTTTAGGACTAAGCTTCCTACACAATAGCTCCAACTGCTCTCACTTTATTTTATTCTGCTTATTCAGTGGCAGGTCTGTCCAGATGTTCTCGTCTCACGCTCTTGAGGGCACATTCAATGACAGCACCGCTCCATCAGGGCATTCCTGGGTCACTCTGGAAGCTGGGAAGGCTGAACCACATTGCCATCGCTGTCCCTGACATGGAGAAAGCCACAGCTCTGTATCGGGACGTGCTGGGGGCCACAGTGAGTGACAAGGTGCCCTTGCCTGAACATGGCGTCTACACAGTGTTTGTGGAGCTCGGCAACACTAAGCTGGAGCTGCTCCATCCTCTGGGGGAGAAGAGCCCGATTGCTGGTTTCTTACAGAAGAACAAGTCTGGAGGGATGCACCACATTTGTATTGAGGTGAGGCAGCATCGTGGTGGACATCTTATTAGGTACATGTGCAGAAACCACTTTTACCATCAGATCAATTTCTCACAGCAGACATATTTTGTTATAGCCAGAAAAGCACAGGTGTAACTAATAACAATTAACAATGACTCTGCTCTATTTATGTGTGCAAGTGAGCTAGGATCCACAATACGCCTTTTTTTCGGCAGACATTTTGACTTGTCATACTAGGAAAGTTACCCGTGTTAAATCATTGATGGTTCTGTTCTACTCGAGTGTCCCAGGAAGCCACGCCAGTGTGACTTTGAGCCAACATTACAGAAATGTGAAAGAAATGTATGCAGTAGTCAACCAGTAGTAGAAGCAGTGTCAGTATTACAGTTTGTCCACCAGAGAGCACTGACACGTTTTATTTGTGAACTGTAAAACATCCCACACAGTCGTTGTTTTAAAAAATGGCCTCAAAAATACAGCAACAGCCGATCTCATCTATTCTTATGACAGTAAAGCTACTTAAAACCAAGCATAACACATTGCTGGCCGCAGGGATTGTTTTGTTTTGTTTTGTGTGTGTGTATGTGTTGTCACATGAAGTCGCACATTTAAAACCTGAGTTAAACCACTTGGTCCTATGATTTATGCTTTGCACACAAGTCAAAAATACAACAAACACTACGTTCTACATTTCATACATATCAGATCAAGTGAAGTGAGATGAATTATTAACTAAATTTGCTCCTGAGTTGTAGGTCGATGACATCAATGCTGCAATAGCCGACCTGAAAGCAAAGAACATCAGAACTCTGTCTGCAGAGCCACGAATAGGTGCTCATGGGAAACCAGTGATGTTTCTTCATCCGAAAGACTGTGACGGTGTGCTGGTGGAGCTTGAAGAAGCGTGAATAACTCAGTCTGATGGGGACTGCGGGAGCTGTTAACCCACATTCATATATTCTAAAGTCAGTCTGATTATCACCATCATAACAAATGTTGATTTTGTAATATTGTTCCTCATAGCACTTAGGTTTTGATTTCTCATTTCAGGGAGGTGCCTCAAAGTTGTTTTTTCCAGTTCTGCCTCAATGCTGTTCTTGCTTGGAATAGATTATAGTGTTGTGTGTGTTTTGACAGTTTTCATAAAGTATAATTGAAATCAATGTTCAATGAATGTCCATTCGCATTTGACTTAGGAGTTTAACTTCACTCCACTATCCCACAACACATCTGTAGTAGGATGACATTATAACTAGTATCCAGCACGTGCTGCAGGAAGAAACTGATTTATACACATTTTTGAAACATTTTGAATATCTAGAATGCAGTTCCAGCCAATGAGTTCAGATTAAGTAAAAAAAAAAACACAGATATACTAACTGTTTGGGAATTTTTAACCTAACATGATACAATTTCTTTTTACATGATCTACAACTCTTAAAACACTGTTTTAATTTCACTATATTGATGCAGATTCCAAAATATAAAGAGCAAAATTGAATTTAAAAAATGACTTTTTTTATTTTAGTTTTTTTCTAAATAGGATGGCACCCTTTTGATTCCAAAAAGGTATAAAAAAAAACAACTTACTTTTAGGTGAAACCCAAATAGGAGACATACTAAGGTTCAGTATTTGTTTAGGAGAGCAGTACAGTAAAGTTGAGAGAAATACAAAATAGAGAAACACAAAATTATCTATGTTTTCTGCAGGTGACATTCAATGAAGGTCTAGACATTGTCCTGAATATTAAAAAAAAACTTCAGTTTTTCCTTTATTGTAAATGAGTGTTAATTATGTGTACCATGTCAGATCAAACTGACATTTTTATTATTAGAGGCATTAGTGCTGTTGGTGGGAGTCTTGTTAATTCTCAGTCACGACTAGAGGGAGTGACACTAGTACGAACCAGCTGGAAAACAAATGTCTGCGATTGCAAAACAGGGGAACTCGCGGTGATGGAGGTCTACTAAACATTTCATTCACACTTCCTGTAACACATTTCAGTTGGAAATCCCGTAAGTATTTTGGTTCTTAAACGTCCTCCAGATGGTCCAGAATAATCAACATACTGTAACTTTAACAACTAGCCTTTGAAACTATCAACTGAAGGAGATCCCAACAGACTCGGGCACAAAAGAGACCTTTGGCAATTTGCTTATAACTTGACTTCACATCTTTACATCAAGCTACTTATTTGCAGTTTTTGGTGTATATTTTCAAGAGACCACAGGCTCTGAGGAAAACAGTAATTATGTTCTTCACATTCAGATAAATATGGTGATTATTTGCTTGATTACCAGCCTTTGGAACCTCCTTCAGCTACTATAGTTTCAATACAGTAAGAGCCAGATCTTCAGAAATGTTTCATTTGTGAAAATATATTTTTTTTAAAAAAGAAAAAAACCTACAATAGAGGCTTTATAAAGGAGTTGTTCCATGTTATGTTCACTCCCCATTATCAGGGCTTGAGGGAAATTTTACTAAATTTGTCAGTTGCCTAGCTAGTTCTGTTTTCTCTGGTAATGGAAATGAAACATCATGTTGTGATGGAGTTTTGCGGTTTTTCAGATATGAATGATCAATTTAGACCATTCAAATGACCTGTGTTTTTTAAACTGAGACAACACTAAACAAATGAGACTGATCAGAATCCAGAGGGTTCCATTTATTTGGTTTGACAAACAGCTCCTGGCATAAAACAGCAAAAATATAGTAATGTCAAAGACATAGCTGATAGCAGAGAGAGAAGTGCGAGATACAAGAGTGGGATTTGAATGTCTCAGGGGCAAATACTTTTGTAATATGGAGAAAATGGCATTAACAACATGAGTAATATAAGATGTTTTAATGACTAGCCACTACCATGCAGATGGCTTTGAAAATATTTGGAAGCAAGATACAAATATACACATATAGAAGCTTTCGTAAATGTGATATGGAGGGATTTAGCTGCTTTCTTTGCCCAGGGTGTGTTTGTCAAACAAGTATTCGGCCAAGCCATTCTGAGGAGCTCCCATGCGGCGCAGGTTGGTCACCCAGTCTGCAAGCTCTTTGATGGACTTCACCTGCTCGTCCAGGTAGTGTGTCTCGATGAAATCACACAACTGAAACAAAGAGAGAGTTGAATCAAATTAGAGCTGAAACACACACACTCGCCGAAATCAACTGAAAGAATCGTCTGTTTTTGTTCTTGTTTTCAATTACCTGCTGAAATATTTAAAAATAGACATGAGAAAAGGTTACACATGAGTCGAACTGATGAGGGCTCACAGACACTTTTGTGATGATTCTACCCTGATGTTACTACCAGTTAATGTTGTTTTGCAAAAGTTGGGTTATAGCTCTGCCAAATCCACTGGATTTAAAAGAAACTTGTACTGACTTGATAAAAACGAAAAGTCAAGTTAGCAATTTGCTTAAAAACGATTCAGCTGTACAATTTTAGACTGTGCAGCTGAGGTGCTTTGTCATATAGGCCACATTAAAGTTTGACAGGTGTTTTCACATCCTGTAAAAAATGAAAAAAACCTGCGGAACTTGCAGCTAGTTGCTATGAGCAAAGCTATTTGTATAGCTCTGAAGTACAGGTGTACACCCAGTGTGTATGTCTTTAGTGCTTGTGCTCGGATCTGATTATTTTTAGAAGTGGGATTGGTGTTCTCTGAAACTAAAATCAGACTTGGAGGAGAAAGATGCGCGACTGTCAAGCCATGGTGTAATACTCACATGTGGGTCATTGTGATCAGAGCAGAGCTTGTGCAGGTCCAGCAGTGACTGGTTCACGCTCTTCTCAAGCTGCAGGGCACATTCAAGAGCCTCAACACCACTGCCCCACTCATCCCTCTCTGGCTTCTGCAACACAAAGCAGGTCAGGAAAACAGTGAGACACTTATTAATGAGACCTACGGGGCCAACGGCCCGAGCCAGACAGCAAGCTTCCTGATTATCAAACTACAAAGTGGGTTTGCAGTTTAACGTTTTACTCAAGTGCAGGGGGTTGTGTTTGCATGTCTGAGAAAGATAAGTGGCGCAACACAATCACACCCACTGTATCTATTTGGCCTCATGTTGCCCTCCTAACATGGGACATTATGATAAGACAGAACGAGAGATCTCACACCCAGTTTTCAAGTTAAGACAGAAATGAAACTAGACATTTATTTTCACACACACACACAATACATCAAATATGAGCTCATACCCTGACATCTTGTAGGAAGATCCTTCCCCCCCTCTGGTTCTGGAGTTTCATAAGCTTTTCAGCGTGCTCACGCTCCTCATGTGACTGATTACGGAAGAACTTAGCAAAGTTGTGCAATGCCTGGTCATCACGGTCAAAGTAGTATGCCTGTGAAGAGGAAAGAGGAGAATGTTGGTGTTTTCCAAACTAGCCATTTCCATTAAGTGAAACAAAAAAAGAAAGTCCTGAAATGTGGCTACCAAATAACACACACATGCACCTAGCTGCCAAGGTCACTACACACAGCTAAAAAAAAAAAAAAAAAACACATAGGTAGAGTTTAATATACCAAAAATCAGTGATAAAAGAAAAAATATTCCAACAGCTTTCATCCAACCTAAAATATCATTGTGAAAACAGTGACGAAATAATGTGTTTCTGAATCTTCCAGTCCAGTCCAGTACAGAATCACGTGGCTTACAATGACTCTTAGATGTCCTACAGCAACTCTAGAGCACCATGTTGCTTCCATTAAAGAGGTCACACTACTAATACTATTTAAAAAAGGAAATGTTTATTACTCCTTTTTTTTAATTCGTGACACAGTGTTGGTGATTAAAAACATTACTGTTCTGCAAATAAAATACAAAACCTTTAAAAACATCTCAACTCAAGAAACATTTATATTTATGTCATTGAAACCTTGTAAATCCTTTCTGGAAATCACTAGAAAGTAGAGAGTAAGTGTACCTTACATTCATAGGGCAAAAAAACCCTTTTACATATACAGCTGTGTGTGGGATCGATAGCAGAAAGATGTGCTTTGTGGGGAACATTTTTAAACACAGTCAATGGACTGCCTGCCCTTTGTCTGTACATAGGGTAATCTCAAAATGAACTTCAACCTTTGCTTTATTGCTCAGCCACACAACATTCATTTAAACTCAGTTCAAACACATAATATCAAACTGACACCTTAAAAACTCACTCAAATTATAACCAGTTAATGCTGAAAAAAATGCTGATCTTATGATGGCTTTTATTTATAACGGCAGTAGGCTGCCCGACTATCCTCATCCAAACATCCCACGTGCTTTTTCAACCATCTGCAGGGTGTTGGCACACTGAGCCCATCGAGCACAGCCATTACATAGCCACAATAATGTCTGGTTAAACGCTATTAGAATAATTTCTCGATAACAATAACCATCACCAGAGTAACTGGTAAAAAGTTCCCTTTACACTGATCACTTCTACCTATATTATCATTATGTTCCTCTCTGGGGGTTTCCCACTCATCGTTGTTTACTCAATTGCTTTTCTACTTCCTGAACACTTCTATATCCATCTACTGGACTCTTACCATAGACAGGTAGACGTAGGAGGCGTACAGCTCCAGGTTGATCTGCCTGTTGATTGCAGCCTCGCAGTCCTGGTGGAAGTTCTGTCTCACTTGGGAACTCATGGTTCTGAAATACAGAAAACAAAATCCTTACTAGACGAACAAGTACAGCTCATATGTAACATTAGGGAAGGCTAATAAAAAATAAAAATTAGAGCCAAAATGTTTGATTAATCCATTTGCAGAAAACTGGAAAGAATTATGATGATCAAATAACTGTTTAAGTCCTTTATCAAACAAAATATACTGCTTTACTCTGTGTTACATTACTGTAAACTGAATATATTTGGGTTTTTGAAATGTTGAAAAAAAAACAAAGAAAGAAAAAAAAAGAAGATGTCACCTTGGACTCTGGGAAAATGTGATTAATGATTAATCAATTACATCTAATTAATCAATAATAAAATACTCATTACTTGTTTCCCTAAACTACAAAACCATGCTCTGGTATTGATGCACTATATCACTTATGTAGTTACCATATCCTAGTTTATGTCTTTCATATTACACTGTCAATCACAGTTATTGAAATCTAAACCAGGTATTGCTGTTTTTGAGTTATTTTCAAGTAAGACCCAGTAAATGCTTTGTAAGGTTATTTCAGCAGTCAATACTAGACCATGACACAGCATTTTAAAAATATCAAACTACATAATTTTGTGATAGTTAATTAAATGACTAATATCAATATTGCTAGCATTTCATTATTGACTAATCTGCTAAATAGTCTCTCCATTAATCGAGTGAGTTTTGTCTCCAAAACGTCAGAAAGTTGCGAAAAATGTTCA